GTGTTATTGTACCTTGATAAATATTAAATCCTAAAAATCTAATTTTGTCTTGAAAATTTTTATCTTTTTAGTTGATACGCATAATCCATTTTGTTTTATTAATTCTATAAATTTATTTAAGTGTTGTATATGTTGATTAACCTCTTTTGAAAAGATTAGTACATCATCTAAATAAACTATTGAAAAATTCATATATGGATAAAATATATTATTCATGATTTCTTAAAATTCACTTGGGGTATTTTTTAGCCTTTGAGGCATTACATTCCATTCAAAATGCCTAAATAGTATCACAAAAGCTGTTTTGTATCTATCTTGTTCTTTTACAGATATTTAATAATATCCTGATTTCATATCAAATTTTGAGAATATATTGGCATTAATTAATCTTTTAATTAAGTCCTGCTTATTAGGTATAAGATACCTAATCCACTTTAATACTTTATTGAGGGGTTTGTAATTTATTACTAATCTTGGAGCTCCTCTTTCTTGTTCTGAAGCTTTATTTACATAAAATCCAGTACAACTCTAAGGTGATTTAGAAGGTCTAATTAATCATTTTTCTAAATATTCTTGTAATTCTTGTTTACAAAATTTTAATTATTCTTCATTCATTTGTATTGGTCTAGCTTTTGTAGGTATATTAGTTTCATCAAATCCTTCTTCATATGGTAATTCTATTTCATATTTCTTCCTATGGTGAAATGCTATTGGATTTAAATTACAAATTTCTTTTGTAATTCTTTTTTCAAAGTCTTGTATAATTTTTTTGATTTTTTCATTCTTTAATTGCTCTTCAATCCTTTTATATTCTATTTCTTTATTTATAAAATTAATTTGTTTTTGCTTTCTTTCTATTTGGTTTATTCTAGTTATTGATGCTTCTTGTACTAAATTTAGTTCTCTAATCTTTGGTGGTTGTAAAAACTCAAATTTTATTTCTCTATCTGGTATTACTTACTAATAATTCTTGTATTATTAATTTCGAAAGGATATAATAATGTCAAAAATGGAGTTCCTAGAATTATTTTATTTCCTATGTTTTTTTACTAATATAAATGATGTGGTAAAACATATTTTTTTTTTTACAAATTTTTCCTTTTGAAAGCTTATAATTTATATTAAATTTATTACCTCCAGCTGCTGATAATTGTTCTGTAGTTTTTTCATAATATTTTGTGGGTATTACTCCTTCTTGTATACAATTAACATATGCTCCTGAGTCTATTAATGCTATTAAATTAAATTTTTCTTGTTTTACTATTAATGTAATTTCACACCACCATTTGTGTGAGGTTATTAATGTTAGTAATTTTAAATTAAATATGTCTGACTAATCTTTTTCTCTTGATGTACTAGTTTGATTTTCTTGTGTTCTTAAGATTTCTTTTCCTTCTAAAGATAATAATCTAATTTCTAAATCTTTTTGGTACTCCTTTAATTCTTTTATTTCTGTTTTTAAATTTACTATTTCTTTTTGTAAATCTTTTATGGTTGCTTGTTGACTTGAAGTCCTAAATCTATTTAATACTTCTGTCATTTCTATGGGTTTTATTACTACTTCTTTTGGTTCTTCTCTGGTAACAAATTCTTTAAGTTTTTTAATGAATTCTGTTTTTAGAGGTCCTTCCTCTAATCCTTCTATTATTGTTATTAAAGATTGAGTCTGGTCTTTGGTTATATTATTTAATTGTGGGGTTTTGCAATCATTACAATCGCATAACCCTGGTCCTAAACAAAATTATTGTTCTTTTTCAGATTCTTCTGAGGTATTATCTAACTGATAAATTTCATTCTCTTGTGTATTTTTATCTTCAAATTGTTTATCTGAAAATTCTGGTTCTGGCTCAGAGTTTATTAAAACTGAATAAAGAACTTGTTTAAGTTCTTCACTTTCGATATAGTTAATTTTTTTTTCAACTTTACATTTATCGGCACGGTGTCCATATTTTCCACACTTCCAACAATTTCCTTTGAATTGGTTATTATTATTATTACTATTTTGTTGTTTAGGAATATTCTTTTTATATGATTTTTTATATGTATTTCTTTTGTATGATTTCTTTTGATAATTAGGAGGACTTTGATTTTGTTTTCTTTTATGAGCTTTTCTAACTATTCTACTAGGAGCTTGTATAGGTCCTATTCCATATTGTGCACAAAAACTTCCTAATTCTGCTTTTCCTATTATTTCTTGTTTTCTTATTTGGTTTTGTAATTTTATGTCTCCACATATTTTTATTCCTGTATTTATTACAAAACCATGTAATTGTCCTAAAGTTAATGTTCTGTAATCAATGTGTTCTCCTAGTCTAGTTTTAATATTTTCTATGACTTTAACTGCAAATAATGAAGGAAGGCCACAGATAAATCTCTCCTTCCAGTATGGTTCATTGGCATCTTCTAACATCATTACTTTTGACATAAACATGTCCCTATATCACTCATAATCAGACATAGTCGGACATCTAAGCTTATGTAATTGTTCTCTTACTCTTTCTCTGAATACTATAGGATCTCCTGTAAAGTGTAGTAATATTGTATATATGAGTGTTACAACAGCATCTTGTTCATTATTTTCTTGTTTAACATGTCCTAATATAAACTCTCTATCTGCAGGGGTGGCATAGTTGTCCCACCAACCTCTTAATTGTCCAGTGAAACCTTGTACAATAGCTTCAGCTGTTACTCTATCAGAGACATTTTTCATTTTATAGGCAGTAGCTGCCATAGCCATTTGCTGTGTAACATAAAAAATTTGTTGTTAAGAGGCACCATCAATATTCCATTCTACGATGTCATTGCCTCCATAAGAATTTTGTACAAAGTGTGATCTATTTTCTAAGGTAACATCTAGTTAATTTTATTATTTTCTAAGGTAATAATATTTTATTTTTGGATGTTCATAAATCTTATTAATTTCTAAGGTGTTTATTGTTTGTTTATCTAAACTTAGTCTAGCTATTTTTGTTTTTATTTCTTCTATATCTAACTCAAGTCCAGATTTCTTTCCTAGTTCTTTCATAGCTTGAGCTGACATAGTAGTTATTGGATATATTAGCTTATCTAAATAATGTAATTTTTTAATATTACTATTGTTACTAATTTTTTTTTTATTTTCAATTCTATTTAATTGATTGGTTATTAAATTTATTATTGTATTGAAATAATTTAATTGTTGATGTAGTTTATTTATATCTTTTTTATTTATTGGTTCATTATTTTCATTAGTTTTTTTGTAAGGGCTAGCTTCTACTTCTTCATTTTCTACTTGTAGTTTTATCTGTTCTAATGGAGGATATTCAGCTTCTATTATTTTTCCTATGGTTGTTTTCCATATATTTTTGGTTTTTTGTAAAGGATTTATTTCTTTATTAAATGGGTAATTTATATTATTTTGAATACAATATTTTTCCATCCAAGGGGAAAAAAAGTATTTATTTGTATTTCTTCTAAATATTTATAAAATTTTTCTCTAATTTCTGTCCTTTGTTGTTGACTAAAAGATTCTATCAGCCAGGTTTTTCTATCTACATTGTGTTCTCCATCTATATCTTTAATCCATTTTTTATCTATAATAAAGGGTTCAATTTTTTCTATTGTATTCAAAACCTGAGAAGGAGTTGAGCTATAATTTATTTCTGAGTTTTGGTCATAGACTGGAATAGAAATTCCTGGTCTAGTTATATTGTCTATTTTGGTTAGATCTATATCTACTGTTGATCCGCTAATAGAATGTCTTGATGGTTCTATAATAGTAGATGATTGTGTTATACGAATTGATCTAGATCTATTCATTCTTAGTCTAAATCTTTCTGGTTCTTCTATTATATTTCTTATTTCTGTGTTTTCTTGTTTAATAGAAAAGGGTTTTTCAAAAACCCATTCTTCTGGTATTGTTAATTGGTCATGTCTTAGCCTTTTAGGTACTTGTACTAGACTTCTATTGAGATTGGCTTGTATAACTACAGTTTCATCTTTGTTAATTTGCCTATTTGCTTTAAATTCATAAGGAATTTTTGTAATTTTATAATAGACTCTGTAGATCACATGGAATGGATTAAATGAGTCATCTATTATATTTTCTTTTATTTTGGTAAATATTTTTATGGCTTTAGACGTTTTCTCACTATTGTAGAATTTTCTGTTTTTGTTTACACATGGTATATAAATGAGCTGTATATATAACATAAATCTTATTGTTAACCTATTAAATGTGTAATATAAATATTAAAATGTTACATATATAAATCTTATTATTCTAAGTATAAGTATGTTAGTGTCTTGTTAGTAAGAAAGGATTATCAAATCCAAAAATTATAGAAAACAAATAAAACTAACCTTTAATGACTGGTTATGCACTAGAGTTTAAATGAAAAAAAGAAAATAATTTTATTTTTCTGAAACGTGCAATGTTATATAAAATAAGAAATTATATGGTAATTTTTTGTTAAAAATTACATAAGTCAATAACAATATTATAATTTTTAATAAAAATTTATTATATATAACTTCTTGTAGAATATTATATCTTAAAAAAATTAATTAAAAAACAATCAAATGTCTATAGACATTTTATGTCGTTTTATTAGTAACATTTATATTCATGCAATAATAACGACCCGTTACTTAACAATTAATGCATTATGTGTCGCAATTGTGTAAATTAAATGTTCAAGTCATGAAAATTTTCTATACTGTTGTAAACAATATCATTTTGCAAAATATAAATTTTAAAATATTTATTATTAAAGATTTTTATCTCACTCCTGAGGTGGACTTTCTCAATTTATAAAGCCATTTTTTACTGTTCCAATGAACTCAAGTACATTAAATTAGAAACTAAATAATCAAATTAATTTTCAAAATTATTTAAATTGATCATTTTAATCACTAAACCTTAAAAATTCTTTATCAATTTCTGACATTACAAATCATTTTTTTGTCTTTTTTAATAATCAAAACATCAAAGAAAAAAGAAAGTAATTCCATTTTCATTAACTTGTGTTACTTTACCGATAAAACTTTTAAACAAGTAATATAATATTCTCTAGACAATGTGGATTTGCTACAACATAGATATTGCCTGACAATACATTCTTTTCTATGCAAATAGCAAAAAATTACCTAGAACCAAAAATTATAAGAAATCTTCAAGGAATGACTACTTCATATGGGTATTCGGCAATGAGGAGGACGCCATAAATGAGAGTTTCCATAGCAAAAGTAAAAGGCGTTGTTATAAGGATAAGCTAGAAATTTCTGATCCTCTAAGAACAATTATTTATTCTCTGCTTCCAACTTTTTGCTTTTTCCGTTTGGATGTTAGTGGACTGTAAAAAAAAGAAAAAGAATTAACGATGCCATATATATCAACTAGTTCATGAAGTTATCAAAGGCATAAACTGTGATGGTCAACTGGATGAGCTGTTTTCCAGTCCATTCAATTTAGTCCCCGTTTCCCATCTCAAATCCCTTGAAAACACAGTTTCAAATGAACATGATCACAAATCTATTTTAATGTTTTGATTTAGATAAACAAAATAAACACTGAAAGGCAATCATGCAAGATTAAGTCAAGACTTTCCTTGTGCTAAATTTATTCTAAAAGTGTGATCTTGTAAAAAGTCTTTCAAGTCAAGACTATGAGGCTTAAATTCTTTTGCAAGCAAAAATTTATCATAAAATTTCTTTTTTTTAATCTTGGGTTTAAAATGTTTCAAGTGTTTTCGGAGACAATAAGACTTCAACATGTTTAGTACATCCTTTTAGAGTGGTAATCAAATGAAATGTGTTTTCCTAGATTTACAATAATGGATTACTTTGGTCGCACGTGATCATTTTCTTTTTAATCAATCACAGATTTTCTTAATTAACCATTTGCTTCATTTTTTAACCTTTCTTAATTACAAGTGTTTAAATATCATATAAAAATCTGCATTGGAGGTTTCAAATATACAACAGAAAATTAGACAATTCCAAAGATCATCTGATACTCATCGATTTTTCTTATGCTTCAAGTAGTAACACCTCACTTTTTTTGTGTTATGAGACTTACTGTGTTGAGAGGATGAACCATTCCTTTAAATATTAGGGCGAGGTATCTCTAGAATTTTCATCAGGGTTGACTAACCCACGTTTTAATTTGTAAACTCCTTCCAGGTAAGGAAATTATGTCAAATCTTATGTAAATTCATTTATAGGTAAACTTTGTTGATTTTTTAGGATAAATCAATTTGAGTTCTTGATTTTTTTCGCTTTATTTTCCCACATTACTTTAATACTTGTTATACATTGTATGGAATCACTATCCTGATGTTCCTATTCCAACTAATCCCTACATTTCTGTAATTAACAAAATCTGTGTAAAATTTTTTAAAGTTTTTACAAGGATTACCCAACAAGTGTTCAATAATTTGTTTGTAGATTTTTTAAGTTCCCCAAAATACTTTCAAACTCAAATCACCCTCCCTCTTGAGTTTGAGGCCATTTAGGTTACAACAACCACTTAAATTGTTCAGATTACACAGTCACTTATATTGGGTGAAGTATCATAAACATAAGTGAGCTTGGTAAACATACCTTTTAAGAAATGTTGGTATATCAGTACCAATGCTTGTACTTAGCTCTTCAACAGTTGCATCAACCTCGTTATTACATTTTAATAGGTTGCAAGCATCCAAAAAAGCAGTAGACTTCACCATATCAGGGATAAGTGATGAATCTTTTATCTCTGCCTTGAGATGTTCCATCAAAACAAGTGCTGCATAAAGGTTCATTGGAAGTTAGAAAATGAAGCTAATCAAATACCTTAACTAATCAGTAATCACGCATTATCTAACAACTTGCACCCGGTAAGTATAATTTTCAATTCACAATGAATAGAGTGAAATTCAGTTCTAAATCTCAGCAATTCAAATTGCAATCACAAAATCATCAAGGGCTACAAATTGTAACAGTAATTCAGTAGCCATTCATTGTATGAATGTAGCAGTCAAGACAAGACAGAGCCTAGGACATGCCCATAGTCCAATGATTTTGGTAGATGGATGCAAGTAAGGAACATTCTGAAATACTAATTAAATAATTCTTGTCACATGAACAGAAGTCTGGGCAATCTCGACCTTTATAAGGGTTAAAATTATAATTAATTCCCAAGATAAGGCATGTGTCTTCTTTGAAAAGCAAAACGACACTCTTAAACCTTGTCTCAACATCAGCATTATATAATAATAGAACAGAAAAAAGATAGATAAATCAACAAGATAAAAGCACAGGATTTTTTCACCTTCAAAATCAAGGAACATTATGCATCTGAAATTTGGGAAAAGGTATAAATATAAGTTAGAAAGAAAGGCATACTACATACCAATGGCTCGAATCATTTTAAGGTTGAATTTATTAGCCAATTCCTTATAGCCTATCATTTTTGCACGCTGAATGATCAACAGTTTCAAGCTAATCAGCATGTCCTGCCAAATTTTTCAAATTTTGAACATCAAATGGTTAAGAATTTACATGAGACATCACTCTAAATCAAAGGCACACACTCAAATTCATCAAATGCACACAACATAGCTAGATGTGACTTGATCAGGTCTACTTTAGACTAGTTTTGCAAACATAACCTGGTCTGTTAGACAGGCTCTATTACACAACCACTCTTTAATGAACCAGATACTACCCAAATATTTTGTTTTCTGGGGCTCAAATTTTTTAAAAGAAATTAAGTGTTATTAAAGAGAGAATAGTATAATTACAATTTTTTTTTTTTGGGAGGCAACAAAAGAAAAATCCAGAGAGTAAAAGGAATATTAAAAGGGCACCAAACCTGTCTAATCCTTGAATATTAGAGATGAAATAACAAGCACAGAAGAGAAATCATAAATGCAATTCTAAACCAGATAAACTAGCAAATCTGATTTCTAAAAAATTGCAAGAACTCCTCTCCAATCACATGTACAAGTGCAATAGGACAGCAAAAATAGCACACTGTTACCAAAAAACTTAATTCTCCTTGTTAAATTCTAAAAACTTCCAGGCACCCGCTCCAATCAAACACACAAGCACAACAGGACTCTCAAAATAACATACTGCTACAAAAAGTTTATGCTTCCCTATTAAAGCCACCATTGAAATTAAAACAGAGAAATTGCTTCACAATGAAAGAGATATTCATCAAACACGAACAAATCTTATTCCAAAGCAGGTACAGAAAAAATATCACTTTAATATTTTACGAATAAGAGGACTTGTTATTTCTTTTCAACTCTTGAGGATATTTTATTTTCACCTCGTTGTAGTTTGTACATCCACGTATCCTCTTTAATTATATTACTCTTCTATTAAAAAATGCTTGGAGTGTAATTTTTGCGTTCTTCATAATTATGACGCATGAAACTTTGTACTAAACACGTAGAGCTCAAAACACTAAACAAATATTATCTACACCAACCAATATAACAATGATGTGACATGATCTATCAATTGAATGACCAAGAGAAGAGACTTACAATCTCTGTCTCTGAAAGGGAGCAGAGCCAAGCAACATCTTCAATCCTAGTCTCATTATTTTTATCTGACTCAACCTCGCTTTTCAACCTTTTCTTCAAGCGCTTGTCCTTCATTGGATTAAACTGAGGATTGTAAGAACTGAATTCCTATTGAAAATTCAATCAAAATAAAACAAATGTTAGTTCAAAATTAAAAGGAATAAAAGTGGAGCTATTGTCAAAATACAAGAGCATAAGGGTGTTCACGATGCAGTTTGCGGTTACCAGCCAAACCAATCATAAAAAATATATGCAGTTTGGTTTGGATGGTTGGAGTCTAATTTCAAAACTGATCCAAACCAAACCGGTTAAATGCAATTTGGATTGGATAGGTTAAATTGGTTTTCAATTTTCATACACATGTTGTCACAAGTTATAAAAAACAGAAATACAAAGGAAAATCAATCAATTCCTCTCTTAATAGACAATTCTAAATTCCCAATGCTTTTCTTCTTGTTCATGATTGTTAAAAGCAGAACTCCATAATGTAGGAAGAAAAACATTTGCCCGTGCTAGCATAAAGAAAGAGGCTTAAATGATCCATCCACTGCTCTATAAAAACAAACATGTACAAATTCACAAGATATTTTATTTCTTCAATCAATAATGTAATGAAAAAAAAAAAAAAGCAAGCAATGCTGAGGTTTGGGTACTCCACTATCACAGATCATTAGTAATTGTAAATTGTGCTCATGGCAACAAACCCAAGCCACAATCAAATGTATGAAATGGAAGCAGATGCAACTTCAGTTACAACAAGCATTTCATAGTTGAATTTCCTAACATTTGAAACCATCATAAACTTCATTATTTTTTATTCAAATTTTACCTACCCACAAGTATGCACAGTCAAGTTAGCTTTAGATCACATATAAATCAGAAACACGTCTGGATATAATTAAACAAGCCTTCCTATCCCAATTATAGATGCATTTAAATTGATCAGGGAAAAGTCAGTGCAATTTCTCAAAATATTATGATGGAGAGCAAATCATACTCCTCCACTACAGTCAGCCTATGTCAGCAACAAATCTATACAACGAGATCGTCTGGTTGTAGTTCAGCAAGTTAATGAATCGTGTTAGGTATACTGTTTCAATGACTGCACATGATCTTGTTTTGCAACTACATGCGACCAAAACAGCTCACTCCAGAGTGCAGACAAAAAAAAATTAATTATTTTAATATTTGACAGAATAAATTAATTACATGCAGTGTGTCCACCAACACCTGTACCGATATTCAAAGGCTTGATCTTATAAGGATAATAACAATAATATGCAATCCCTGATTGCGACATCTGCAATTTAATGACAATTGAGCGCTCAAGAAAGCACACCAAAACAACAATGCAACACCACATGAAAGCATGAGAGAATGTGCGCATTCAAGTACCTGAACGAAGGTCACGAAGCACTGAGCGATTGGCTCTGTCGATGGCCTCTATAGACAGATCTGAGAACTCAGAAGAGAGCGGAGATGCAGGGGTCAGGGATGAGGGCGTCTACGTCGTCACTGCGGAACGTGAGCCAAGCTATGCAGGGGAGCGTCAGAGGCTGCAGCGCAAAGGAAAGAGAAGTGAACCATCTAAAAAGTATTGAGTATACATCGTTAAAGGTATAGCAGGAATTTTGGGTATGCATTAAGGGTATAATAGGAATTTAATGGTTTAATGTAGCGGTTCCGTTTAGTTTGACTCAGTTTTCTTAGCTAGGAAGATAAAATAACGATTTTTTCGATTTTTTGTTTTTTCAGTTTTCGATTTTTTTTGGTAACGGTTATGGTATTTAAAATGAATTTGTTCGGTTTTTTTTAATAATAATGTGCATGGATTGAATTTATAAAATACCAATCCAAATCTATTTTAAATTTAATTTTATAGATTAAATTTTAAATTATTTTATTTTATTTTTTTAAAACTGATTTTAAAATTTGAATTTGATTAAAAATTAGTTTTAAATCTGATTTTGGTTAAAATTAATTTTAAATCCAGTGTTAACTAAAGTCGGTTTTATTTTTATACAATGTTAATTCTTTTCGAGAGAAAAACACTAAAAATACTCGTGTTATAGAATAAATTTTTCTTAATAATACAAGTTGACTAACATATCCGTCATTTATGCCCTGCAACGTGAAAATATACAATCTTTCTTAATAATAGTATTCATTTAGGCCTTACAACTTGAAATATACAATCTTTCTTAATAATAGTATTGCAAAATAAAGCGATCCATCATTAACATCTTAAAAATATTCTACATGAGCAAAGTTGTCAACATCAAGTCTATCCAAAACAGAGTTCGATAGCAAGTTAACTTGATTCTTCTACCTAGGGTGGTAAACTTGTAAGAGTTGAAGAGTTTTGGATTTAGGAGTTTGACAACCTTCTATATAAGCATGTTATACTGTTGTTGGTCGATTAAAAATAATATACAATAGCAAAATTAAAGGGAATTTTACAGCAACCATCAGTAATGTGAAAGCTATTGACATATTTATCCAATTCATAGTTGACTAACAACAAAAAAGCTTTGTTTGAATACAAGAAAAAAAATTGTAAAACATTTGATCTAATTTATTTCCAGATTAACAACAGAACCATCTAACTAGAAGACATTATACAAAAGGAAGTTGAAATAAATTGGAATCTATCAAATATGAAGTTATGGACACAGAATGAACACTCCCAACAACAGTTTGAATTTCTTTCAGTTACCTAATTTTATAGAGTCAGAGACAATGTAAGGAACTAAAGATAATAATCTACCAATATTGATTCAGACATCTCTAAGATATCCAATTCCTTGACTATCTTTCACATTGTATTGTGACTTATATCAGACAAATATGATAGCAGTATTGGTGAAGCACAATCACCAAATGGAAAATGAAGATTTTGATTCTTTTGCCATATTATGGTTCCAGTCCACCATGTTAATAGTAAGGTGCTCATAGCTCATAACAAAGAGTAATAATGGTCAATAAGGTTGATTAATTGTCATACATATATGTAGTATGAGTGGAACTAATCTCACTAAATAGGCTCCTACACACACAATGATTTGTAACCATAAATCAAGAACAGATGCAAATTAGTTGTAATTTTTAAATAGTAACTGTACCATGGACATTAAGCTCAACTCTAGTCACAGTTTAGTTAGTAAATCCTATCAAGTATCAATTTTGATATACATAAATTTTACCAGTAAGGTTAAGTAACGTTACCTTAATATTTCTACATGCTCAATTACCCCACAGTATGCAAAAAAATTGTGCATATCATTCTCTGTTGCTTCTGGGGACAAGTTTGTAAATTCAACGGTGTAAGCACCGGTGTACATATTTGTCAAGTGACCCAATCTCAAATCAGAAAAAGTAGAACAAAATTCAATAGGCCAGCAGAAAGCAAAGGAAGTCAAAAGTTTGACAATTTATTAGAGGAAAGAGAGTGATCTCCATAAGGATTATTTATTTAACATAAAAAAAAATTGATAGAATAAGACCATGCATTGTTAGAACAAACAATGAAGATAAGCAGCAGTATAATAAAGGATAGATAACATTATCTATCGTTTAGAAGCATTCATTTCATCAGCTACATATTCCAAAATGTGTAAGAGACAAATCATTATTCATAACAATTCCCTCTCAAATAGTTTAAGAGACCAAATAACTAATAGAGAATCATGAGGTGAGAAAGCAAACATTACATGTAAGTAAGACCATTGGATACATGATAAGTTCATATTTGATATATTTTATTACTTATATTTATATACTTAAACATTATTATATATATATATATACTAATTATGTTATTAATTATTGCAGTTTAGCTGGAAGTTGTTATGGAGATATTCTGAATAAAAATTAGATATTTTTAGTCATTTATTGTGTTATGTGAAGCTGGGTTTGAATTTTGAATTTAAAATTTAAACTTAGATATGAAGATTTGGAGCGATTTTGATTGTGAATAAATTGATTTGAAAAGATAGAGTTCAACCGACTGGAAACTCAGGACACAACCTCTATATAAAATGGCCTTATGCTCCACACTTGACACACTTCTACTTCTCTACACACTTTCTTCCCCTTCTTAGTTCTAACCAAATTCACCTTTGAGAGTCATTAGAGACTATTGGCAAGGACGACAAGCTTCCTCTTGGGGTCCAAGCAAGTGATTGAACGTCGCTTCAGAGAACGAGAACTCTCTTCATCTTTTACCTTTCTGGGTTTCTTTTGTTTGAGTTTTCTTTTGTGTTATGGGTTTATTTATCACGTTCTTCGTAGTTTATTTTGTTATGAGTAACTAAACCCATAGCTAGGGTTATGATGAGTCTTACTTCAAATTTTGTGTGATTTTTACTTTTAATGTTGGTATTGATTTTCCTTTAATGTTTGGTTTTATTCTATTGAAATGTATTGTGTATGTTAAGATTTGATCACCCTTAGCATTTCACAGTGAGTTGCATTATAGGCGATTGTACCACGAGTAATTAACAGAACAATAGGATAAAACAAGACAAAGAGCTAGGTTAATCACACTTAATTCTTTTCTTTCAGTCATTATTAAATTAATAAACTCATAGGGTCTTCATGCTTTCTCGACCAATTGCCTTGCATGATCATTAGAGTGTTTGTTTAGGGAAAAGAATATTGACATTGCATAATCATTGGGTGTTAATAGAACTAATTATGAGTGGTTGGCAAATATTTAGATACCAATACTGGGATTAAATTAATTAGAACATAAAGAAATGTAGTAGGTGAACCTATAAGTCCTAGACTCATCTTATTCAATCTCTCTCATGTGTTGTGTTATTGTTCTTTTAATTTATTGTTAACATTAAGCTCTATTTTTGATTTGTTACAATCTTATTACGTTTAATCAATCAAATTAAGTTACTCTTGGTACTTGAAATTTCTGTAGGATGATAACTTTGGAACTCTTAATTCAAAACCCTTTATTACTTTTTGATAGGTACACTTGTTTATAAACAGTACATGACATGTATGCATCCTTATCCTTGTACTTAATCCCAAAGATTTTTGAAAATAAATTCATGAATATATTTGCTAAATCAAAATAAATCTTATCAAAGGAAGAAAGTATGGAGAGGAGTGTAAAGGGAACTTGTCAAGCAGTTTGTAGTTATTGTTTTGTTATAGTTTGTTATTGCTGATATAGTCTATCAGTTTTATCTCTGTGAAAAATACCCCTCTTGTAATCTTTCACGGCATTAATAAAAAATCATTCTAGTCTCTTCTTCTTCATGATCACAAACTCTAGTATGGTATCAGAGTAATCTAACCATCGATTCCGAAACCTCCTTCAATCCTTAAATGTTTCAAACTCTAATCTCGATCAAACTTGATCATGAGAATTTTCTTGTTTGGCAACAACAAATTCTTGCCACAATTCGAGGTTTTAAGCTTAGCAAATATCTTCATGAAGAATACGTTCCAAAGAAATTTGAGTCCAAAGAACATGAAAAACCTGGTACGATCAGTGAAGCTTTTCTCAAATATGAACAACAGGATCAGTTACTCATCGCCTGGCTCCTTGCATCGATGTTAGCACCAATCCTCACCAAGATCGTTGGTTTGAAGCAGTCATGGCAGATTTGGAAAAGATTAGAAGTCTATTATGAGTCTCAGACTCGTGCGTAGGTAAAAAAATTGAAGGTACAGTTGCGAATGATTAAGAAAGATAAGTCAACTTCAGAATATTTGCTTGCGATCAAGAAAATAGTAGATTCACTAGCTGCGATTATTTTGTGATTTCTAATGATGATCATATAAAAGCAATCTTAGATGACTTGCCTGAAGATTATGATTCTTTTGTTACTTCTGTTACATCGCGTTTAGATCCATACACTGTTGATGATATTGAGGCACTTCTAATGGCTCAAGAAGAGTGTGTTGAAAAACACAAGAAAGTCGATTCAAATATGGTTCTGGCTAATACTACTTCTAAACCTAGTTATTCTTTTGGCAGAGGAATATGAGATAATTCAAATTTTAGAGGAAGATATAACAATCGCGGTGGTAGATCCAACTTTTGTGGTGGTTACAATTCCAATCGAGGAGGAAGATACAACAATGGAAGAGGCAATGGCAGATCGAACTTGGGACAGAACTCAAATGATTCTTGGAATCAGAACAATAGACCACAATGTCAAATTTGTGGTAAGCCTGGACACTTAGCAATTGATTTCTGGCACAGGTTCAATCAGGATTTTCAAGGTACTCCTCAAGCAAATCATAGTTAGTATCAAGGTTTCTCTCAATCTGATCAAACATTCATGTCAACACCAATAACTATGTTGAATCCTCTCTAGCATCCATATAGTGGAGCAAGCTATCACATCACCAATGATGAGAGCAACCTTTCTGTCAAGAATGATTACACAGGGAATAATCGTGTAAAAATTAGTAATGGTTCAGGTTTGATCATTAAGCATATTAGAAATTCTAAATTCTATGAATTTTGAGCCAAACAATTACTTTGTTATGAATTAGTTATTAAATGTTCCATCCACTACAAAGAATCTTCTTAGTGT